GGCACTGGTAACTGCTCCCAAGGCCCGCCTCGGGGGTCAGGATGGGCGCAGGGGCCTTGCTAAAACCCTCAGCCTCCGAGAAGCTGGCAGGAAAGCCAAAGGCTGGGCACGAGGAAGACGAGGTGCCCATGGGGAGCTCCCCTGAGCCTGCAGGCTTGGGTGTGGGCATCTCTTTGGGCTCCACAGATGGCCGGGGCCTGACATCGGTGGTGGCCGGGCACATGCTGGCTGGCAAGGTCCCCACCAGTCCCCCAAAGGTTAGGCTTTTGGGCTCTGGCAGCTCCGGCAGGAACGGGCACTGCCTGCCCGTCGTGGTATCGGGGACTCCAGGGTCCTCCTGGCTGGTGGCTCTGAGGGGTCCTCGGCGTGCCTTGGCCGGGCCCGTGGTGCCCTCGGCACCTGCTCGCCGGGTGAAGCGTCGGCGTCGGCGCAGGAAGCTGCCGTGCTCGAACATGTCGTGACAGTCGGGGTCCAGGGTCCAGTAGCTGCCCTTGCCTGGCTTGCGGTCGTCACGGGGCACCTTGACAAAGCACTCGTTGAGTGACAGGTTGTGGCGAATGCTGTTCTGCCAGCCGGGCCGGTTGTGGCGGTAGAAGGCGAAGCGGCCCATGATGTAGCGATAGATGCCGCTGAGCGTGGCCCGCTGACCCGGGGAGCTCTGGATGGCCATGGCGATCAGGGCTATGTAGCTGTAGGGGGGCTTGGTGGGCTCGGCTGCAGGGGCCAGGGGCCCGGGTGGGGGCTGCTGTTGCATGCTGGCTGGCTGGGCTGGCCGGGCTGGCGGCTGCCAGGACCACGGGAGCCAGGCACTGCGTCCAGGGCTGGTGTCCGGCACAGCCCGCCCAGGCTGGTTAAAAGGCCCACTGGCCCAGCCTCCCAGCCTGGAAAGGCAAAAAGGGGTGGGCCCGCCAGGCTGCCCTCCCTTCTTCCCTTACCCCCTCCTCCAAGGCCCAAGAGGGGCGGGCAGGAGAGGCCTGGATTGGGAAGTTTTGAGCAGCTGCCAGGGGTAAAAAGTTGGGAAGGAAGGGACTGAGTGAGACCCTCAGCCCACATGTGCTGTGTGGTGGTGGCTGGGGGGGTGGGGGTGGGGGGCTGATGTGAAACAGAGGGAGACAGAGATAGAAATAAAGAGAGATAGAGGCAGAGATGTAAAGAGACAGAGATAGTGGGGAAAAGAGACAGAGACAGACAAAAGAGGTAGAGAGATAGCAAGAGACAGAAACACACACAGAGAGATAGAGGCAGAGACATAAAGAGACAAAGATAAGACAGAAAATACACGTGCACACATACACGCACGTAGTATACAGAAAAAGAGTCACTGAAATAGAGAAATAAACCTACAGAGATAGAGAGAAAAAGGAGGATACAGAGAGAGACACACACACAAGACACAAGAGAGGGAGGGGCAGAGAGACAGAGAGAGACAGTCATCCCCGATGAGAGAGGGGAGAAGTTAGAACCTAAGTGCTGAGCTAGGGAACGGGGCGCGAAAAGCCACCAGGGCTTCTCCAGTCCCCACCTCCAGTTCCGCTTTCCTCCTCTCCTCCTCCCAGGCCGTGGTCTTCTCCCTACTCCCCACAATGCAGAGCCCTTGAGGCCACAGTTTATTCCCTAATCTCCTCTCAGTGGGGTGGATGTGGATGTGGGGTGGGGCACCTGGGACGGTGATGAGAGCCAGCCAAACGCCGTCGGCTGAGCCCTGGCGCCCTCTAGTGGTGTAGGGAGGACAGACATTTGGGCAGAGATATGCCCTCTCCCATGAGGTGTCTCAAGCAAGTCCCTGACCCAGGCTGAGCCTGCTTCCCATCTCTAAAGTGGAGCTGGTGACTCTTCATCAGTTCGGGCTGCGGTGAGGAGGCAACAGGCTCCCTTACATAGTATCCAGCACCCTCTGCGAGCCTAGCACAGAGTAGGACATGGTTGAGGGCTGTCACTCTGAACTGAGCTCCCCGCCAGCTGCAGCCTTGGGCCAGGGGTACAAAAAAAGCCCAGCACAGACACTCAGGCCTTCTGGAAGATGGGGCAGCCTCCTCCATGTTCTCTGAACCACAAGTAACCAAGTCAGAGGGCGCCTACTGTGTGCCACTTTCCATGCCAGGTCCACTCACCTCCCTTCTCCACATTTACTTCTCAGACCAACCCTGCTCCAGAGGCCTCCAGAGCTGCTTTTGGATAGATGAGGACTCTGAGGCTTAGAGAAGTGCAGTGACTTGGTTAAGGTCACACAGCTTGGGAATGAAAAGGCTAGGATTTCAACCTCGGTCCTAGGATTCTGTAACTCCTTAACATCACCTCTCCTGTGAGGGGCAGGGATAGAGAAGTTCCTGGGGCCCCACTGGAAAACAGGCTGTGAACCCCAATAGAGTAGGGACCATGCTGTTTTGCTCTATCCCAGTGTCCAGCATTGGCCTGGAACAGGTGTTCAACCAACATTTGTTGAATGAATTTAAAAAACAGTGATCTGATTGACTTCTGTCCTTTGTTGAATCATAGTCCCCCCACCCCCATAAAAGTGACTTTTTAAAAATATATATATATTCTTATTTGTTTCAGAGAGGAAGGGAGAGGGAGAGGGAGAGGGAGGGAGGGAGGGAGGGGGAGAGAGAGAGAGAGAGAGAGAGAGAGAGAGAGAGAGAGAAAGAGAAACGTCAATGATGAGAGAGAATCATTGATCGGCTGCTTCCTGCACACCCTACACTGGGGATCGAGTCCACAACCTGAGCATGTGCCTTGACCAGGAATCAAACTGTGACCTCCTGGTTCATAGGTCCACACTCAACCACTGACCCATGCCATCCGGGCAACATGTGACTTATTAATGTA